AAACCATTTCAGGTGACTACCTCTTGAAGCTCATGGAGAGAATGCCAAGAGTGTGCAAAGCAGTAATCAGAGCAAAGGGTGGCTATTTTGAAGAAACTAGAATATAAAACATGTTTTCAGTTATTTCACCTTTTTTTGTTAAGTACATAACTCCACATGTGTTCATTCATAGTTTTGATGCCTTCAGTGAGAATCTACAATGTAAATAGTCATGAAAATAAAGAAAACGCATTGAATGAGAAGGTGTGTCCAAACTTTTGGCCTGTACTGTATATATATATATATACACACAAACTATGTACATATACACAAGCCAAAAATTGTAACATGGATTTTTTTAAGTGGTTACACAGGGTCTTTCTTTTCATGCATCCGGCCAGTTGATCACAATACCACCAAACAGTGACCTGTAGCCACCTATAGCCACCTGTAGCCACCTGTAGCGCCTTTTGTCTATTTTTGCACTTCAAATTTATGCTCAGTTTGAGCTAATGTCTTTATTTGAATCTTTTAATTTGTCAGGCATATTACTGACCCACAGTTTCACATGACATGTGGATCTAGGTTACCCAGTCTATGCACATCTATTGGTCAAACCATTGAATATGGATGATAGACTGAGAGATGGATGGATAGCTGTATGGATACCTATCCTTACCCTGATGTAGATGGAGATCTATAGTATAAAGAGTTAGCTGTATTTAATTAATTGTGTTAAACAGACTTTTCCAGCAATTGTTACAACTAACCCTCTGACTGTCACAATTAACCCCACCCATGGGGTACGTTGTAACATTTCACTTCCACCACTTCTCAGTGCAATTGTTGGGGAAAGGTAAGTTCTAGAAAAAGACAACAACTGTCTATTTGGTGCATGTTGTTAGAATAAAACAAACAAACAAAAATCTCAAACACTTCTATTAACATTTAGCCAAAACTAAAAAGTGTTCTCCCCTAGCCTATGCATATAGCCCACATTGTTGTGAGCATTTATACTTATACATTTCCAAACTCAGATCCATGTTAACTTATTCCGAGCTAGAAATGATCATCCATGCTTTTATTTCCTCACGTCTAGATTACTGTAATTCTCTTTTCACCTGTCTCAATAAAACTTTATTAGACCGCCTCCAACAAGTCCAGAACGCTGCCGCCAGGCTTCTGTCCAGATCTCATAAGTTCACTCACATTCACTCCAGTCCTGGCATCCCTGCACTGGCTCCCTGTTAATTTCAGGATCCAGCACAAGATTCTAACCATCACTTACAGAGCCCTCCATGGTCAAGCACCTGCATACTTGACGGATCTGGAGTCCTTTCACTGTCCTGTCAGGTCACTGTGGTCCGCTGAAGGCCACCTATTTACCGTCCCTCACACAAGATTAATGACGAAAGGTGATAGAGCCTTTAAGGCTGTTGCACCGAAATGGTGGAATGCACTACCTCATGAACTGAGAGCG